GATCTAACTGCTGTCTGAACCCTACGTATTTTAATAAGGAATATTACTAGCCATTTTTTAAAATGAGAAATTATTACTTCCTCTGTTTTTCCATTCCAGGTCAATAAAGAAGCACCAATTTCTGAGTCTTTCCATCAGGATATACATCTAATTAATTCCAAAACTCAATTTGCCCCCACTGGGGATGATGGGAGAGAAACAGCTTAGAAAAGCCATGTGAATTTCTAAATTATAATTGAGGATGTGAAGTTTGGAATTATTTTTCAATTTGAATAAAAAATAATCCTATTTTTCTCTCATTAAAATGAATTTGATATAAAATGACAAAATGAAAAAAAGGTTGGAGACAGATTACATCTACTTCCTGACGTAAGAACAAAGCGAAAAGCCCCTCTGGTGTTAGTTTAAGAAAAAGGCCTGGAAACTCTAATCCCGTTTAGTTTAAGAAAAAGGCCTGGAAACTCTAATCCCCTCTACCTAAGTGAGTAATATTTCGGTAAGCTGAAAGTCACACAAGCACACCCAGTTCATAAAGTACAAACAGTGTTGCTATTGTACAATGTGCTTAACACACATCAGATCCCCTCTCTCTCTCTCTCTCTCTCTCTCTCTCTGGCACAATGGCCACTGAGACAGACTGTTCATGTTACTGACTTTGTATTCCATAGTAATAATCTCAAAATTGGAGACATCTCCCTTAGTCTACCAGAGAACTACAATTTTCAACTCAGCATCAAGTTTGCTACTTCCACCTGAGTTAGACTTTTGAAAATCTGTTTGATGGTTGAAAGGAAAACCTGACATGGAGAACATCTAATGATAAAGAAAGAAGAGAAAGAGAAAATCTTAAGCAGCAAGAAGAGGAGAGAGGGGGTAAGATAAGGGGAGGAAGAGTACAGTTGATAATAAAACCGGCTGCCTGGGTGTCAAAGACGATAACAGTGGGGAGAAACGTGGCCAGGCTGTCAAGAAGTACTGAACTTTTAGACAAAAATATCACCCATCAACCAGAGACTTCAGAATTACAAGGGCCCAATTAATACCCGTTAAATAGAGCTCTTCACTTTCTCTGCTCAGAGCTCTGAGGCTTAGCCAGCTTCAAATCTCCTTGACTGCTCACACGTCAGGGTCACTAATATCTTACTTCCAGAAACTATAACTTGGTCTTTGCTCCTCCCGACTCTCACAGTGTGAGGCTTCCCCCGATTTCCTCCCAACCTGAAGTTTACAGCACTGCATTTCCCTTTCGCTGCCCAACCTGGCCTCCTGGCGTGACACATTTACCCTGGAACACAACTCCAAGCTCTGTGAAAATTTCAAAGACCTCTTTACAATGAAGTAAGAAAGTCTATTAAATCAGTCTATACCCACTTCTTGCCTCAGAAAAAAAGTGCTTTGCCCTTATACTTGCTTAAGTAGCTGTCCTCTGGCAAATGTGAAGAAAGATTATTATTAGATTACATTCAACTTATTTATTCCAATGACAGATACTGGCCCCCCAATGCAGACTGACCTTAACAATTTTAAGTACATATCTTCCTCAATGTTTCTTTGCTTAAAGCAAAGAAAAACTGTCTGTAAAGACAGACAATACATATAAGATTCTCCAGCCTCATACATGCCTCCTTCTGCTCTTTGGAACCTGCTACAAGTTCAATAGTTAATTTGTAGCCTCCTTTCATTACCTAGGAATTTTAATAGACACTTGATTGTTAGTGATAAGTGGGACCAAAACAAAAATAACCCACACAAGATGACCTACTAGCAATAAGCACAAAGACAAGCCTGAGAACCCTAATTTCCTAATTTAAGTCTTTACTGGGAACTGGTCCTTACACTAAAAAATGTAAGTTACTGTGACCTTAAATTAAAAGTGGAAGACTTCCCTGGTGGCGCAGTGGTTAAAAAATCTGCCTGCCAATGCAGGAGACCCAGGTTCAAGCCATGGTCTGGGAAGATCCCACATGCCTCGGAGCACCTAAGCCCGTGCGCCACCACTACTGAGCCTGAGCTCTAGAGCCCGCAAGACACAACTACTGAGCCCACATGCCACAACGACTGAAGCCCACGCACCTAGAGCCCATGCTCCACAACAAGAGAAGCCACCGCAATGACAAGCCTGCGCACCACACGAAGCCTAGCCCCCGCTCGCCACAACTAGAGAAAGCCTGCGCGTAGCAACGAAGACCCAACGCAGCCATAAATAAATTAATTTTTTAAAAAGTGGAAGAGGAATTAAGACAATAAATATATATTTACCATCCCTGGCCAACTGTTTTATATTCCATTCTGATGTTATTATAGTTCATAATACATTGTTGTTTTATTATATCCATGATATTCCTGATGATACCCGGAGGCCTTGTCTTTGTGTCTCCAGGGGCCAATAAATGTTAATTGTTCAATACATGTCTGTTAAATTATCAAAAGAATAAATGGCATCGGATGGGTGAGACAACAAGGATCTAGGACTTCTAACTCCTTACATTCGGTACAGTCAAATACTCCCTGCCTCTTCTTTTCCAAAATATTTTATTAAAACCAGAGGGACTCACATGATAAAGATGACAACAATATTAAGGCAAAAGGCTTCCCTTTCTGCCTCAAACACTCAACTCTTTAACGGTATCACTCCCTGTCCTTATTAAAGCACAGAGGTTTCACAAAGACACTGTCCTCCACTCTCACCAAGCCAACATCCAACTTTCAACCTTATACAAGTACTAAACTGTCTTACTCCAAAGCTAAATAACTAAACTCACACTATGTGTACTTCAGTCAAACTGGGCCAGAAGACTGCAGTAAGCGATGTTCTTTTTAGTAAACTCAAAGTTTCTCATTTTGTGATTAGTTCCCAGTAATGCTACCTATATAAACAGCAGCTTTCTTGGAAGGGAAGAACTGGAAGACAAAAAAGTCTTCCATTAGAGCCTTCCGGACAGTACCAAGAGAATCTGAGAGGGACTTTTAAGCTCACAGAAAGGGCATAAGTATGGCAGCAGACATACACAGTAAGGAAACAGGGAATAAAGATGTCTTTGATTCCACAGCACCCACCCAAGCTCTTAGCACTATAAGTCAAGTAGAAAAGATGCTGCTTTGTATCAATAGATACGACTCTCTAACCTCTAACCTTCACTTCACTGAGTCAAAACTGAACCAAAGCTGCTTAGGAGCTCTGTGGAGTATTCCAAGGGATCACCGCTGATTTCCTAACAGTAGAGGAAGATTAGATTAGAATTATAATTAGAATGGGGAAGATTAGAAGCTTCCCCATTCACTACCAGAAGTGCTGCCAGGCTGCCCAGAAATTCCCCGCCCAAGTTCCAGCCATCCGGGAAACATGAGAAACCAAGAATGCTGTAATCATGGCCTTTTTGGTATTGGGTCCAAAAAAAACTGTGTCTAGGCCAAGACTGTAAATGAAATATCATCCAATGAAAAACTAAACAGTCAAAGAAGTTTTCATTTACCCAACACAGCTATCATGGACAGACCCAGTACTGTATAGAGGAAGTTTCCAACCTTACTTAATGATAAACACCCAGCAGAAAACCACTAGTCACACGTAACTATACTATAGCCTCAGATCATGAATGACGTGGATGGAAAACAGGCCTAAGGGTTCATTGGCAATAGGCTCACAGGATTTTGAAGAAGGATAAGTAATAAGGTCAGAATTCTTTTAGTGTGGAATCTTTTAGGGGGAAGAAGGCACTTGTAGGTAATAATAAAACTCTTAAATGCCAGGAATTGTTCTAAGCACTTTAAGAATATTAACACATTTAATACTCACCACCAACTCTTTAAGATTGATATTATCAATCCCCATTTTAAGTATGTGGAAACAAAAGAACAAAGAAGCACCTTGCTCAAAGGTTTACAGAGCCAAGAAGTGCTGCAAACTAGTTGGGGTTCAGATTCCACTGGAGTCAAGGTAGAAACACAGTGTCCCCTGGTTTCACCAATATTCACTAGAATTATGACCTCTGGAAACCCGTCTCCTCTTGCCTCCCCTTCCATATAATTTTTGCTTTTGCTTTTCACTTTAAAGAGATGTCACATTCCCTTAACTTCATAACGCTCCTTTGAAAGCAGTGCACGATATGAGAGTATCTTCACTTGACACACAGGAAATTCCAAGCCCAGGTTCCCCAACTTCTCCCCCAATGATGCTCTTTGAAATAATCTGATATATGAAGGGAATTTGGGGAAACCAAGTGAAAAGGAACCCAAAGGCGTAACATCAAAAATATTAGCATAGCTTTAAAAGCAGGGACATATGAAACCAAACAGATGGAGAGCTGCCACCCCACTCACATACCGTGCACAATAATGCCCCCTACAAAGGTGCCTGGAGGCTGCACAAACAGCCCTAAAACCAATCTACACACAAGTACTCAGCGGCCTGCCCAGGCCCCTCACACGAAGGCGCTCCCTGGATGTCGGCTGCAGTACTCAGCGGCCTGCCCAGGCCCCTCACACGAAGGCGCTCCCTGGATGTCGGCTGCAGTAAAATGAATTCTTTTGTTGAAGTGGGGCGAAGGGAAGCCCAGGGAGCAGACGGGGCGCCAGGTCTCCGCAGATAAGAAGGCAGCCGCGGGGACCTTGCCCCGTGGCCGTCGGCCTCTTCCGCGGCGTGAAACGGGGTCAGCGCACCGTCGATCACGGGTCCCGGCCCCGCGGCTGGTCCGGCCGGGGGTTCGGCCATTTCTCTTAGGCCGCGAAGGGAAAGGGGTGAGGCCGCTGCAACCTCTGGCGTTTCCTTCCCGCCCCCCGCTCCCGGCGCCCTCCTCTCGGTCTTCCTTCGAATAATGCGGCTCCATCTGGAACCCGCGCCCAGGCCCTCACAGCCCGTGCCGCCCCTCGCAGCCCCGCTCGGCGCCCCGCATGCCCCATTCTGGCCCCGGCGCCAGCTCCCAGGGCAGCCCTCCATCCGGGGAGCCCGGGGAAAGCCGGGCGCCCGCGTGACCTCTGACCTGCCCTGTACCCCACCTTACCGGCTCTGCAACCACCTGACAGTCTGTCCCCGCGCCAGAGGCTCCATACCCCTGGAACCAGCGCCACGCCAGCCTACCCCCTACACGGCCCGCGATTGGCCGACAGGACCGCAGCTGCACCTTCCTATTGGCTGGATTCTCCGTATTCCCCTCGGCTGCCGGCGAGCAAGGCGGGCCGACGGCAAATTCCGGGGCTCCGCCCTCCCCAGGTCACGCTGGAGGCGGGGCCACGGCGGCCCGGGCGGGAGCTGTCTCTTGCAGAGCTAGTGCTCGCGCTGGTCCAACCCACAGTGTGGGTTGTAGTCTTCCAGACCGCTGGCACCCTGCAGACACGTAAGTTTCCTGCTGTAGTTCGCCGCGGCCTCACGTTAGGTCCTGGAAATCAAGACCATTTCTTCTGAGACGCGGCTCTGTGAGAGATACAGCTCCATCCTATAAGGTATAGCCACCTGGCAGGACCATTTCCTCTCGGCCCCAGAGCCACATCATAGTATCTGCTGCCCCACCAACAGCACCCCACACCTGGGAGGAACCGCGAAACATCAGCTAGTGCAGCCATTTCGGCTGCATCAGTTGCCCTGTTCCCAAGCTTTGGTAATGAATTGTTTTCCGCTCTCCTACGCAGCTGCCTCGCTTCTTCCCCCAAACTTTATTCTCCATCTACCCAAAAGTAGCCCCACTCCATCCGCAGTTTCAATCTCACATCCCAGAGTCTTTCTCTGAAGATGATGACCAGACTTGTGGTGCTTTAGAGTGGAGAAAATAGTCTGACTAACCACCCTAATTTTCTACAATGTCGTTTAGAGCTACCAGAAACATTCTCAGACACCCCTCTCCCCGCGCCCCCCATCGCCCCCATAACTGCTTTCATTAAAGGTAACCAAGCTTATCTAACCAAGTCATAGGCCTAGAGAGGAAAAGCATAAACCCCTCCAACATCTTTCTTCCTGTAAAAACTGCTAGGAGAAATTTTTATTAGTTGGTAAAAGAGTCCAAGAGAAGAGGAAAGGAGAGTAAACTGCAAAAAGGAAAATCCAAATAAAGTACAAAGTAAAAACAAATTCAAGGACCCCAAAAAACTGGGCTGAGCATCATCAGTTATCTGGTACAGGCTAGTTTCCATACAGAATCTCTCCTAGAGAGAAAAGAAAATGCACAAATTAGTTCTGAGAATCTCTCTACAGCACATATGGGGAGTTTCAGAAAGGCTTGATGAAGTCCCTCCAGACCAGAACCTTTCCTTTGGGAACTACTACTTCAACTAGAAAATAAAATGGCTGGAACCATCCTTCTCTCGTTCCAGGTCTGCTCAGGTGGGCAACTTCCCTGGGCTGTTGCATACTTACTTGCTGGCTACTTACTTAGCTCAATGTGTGGAGCTGCCTCCTTCTTAAGCTGTTTCTTCATTGTGCAGGCTGGGTTTAACTTTCCCCAGTGCTGGCTCCTGTCTCCTGCCTCTATATATGCAGACAAATGTGCCTCCCCTTGGTTAGATAAGGGCACTTTAGGCTGCTCTGGGCAGCACATCGTTATAGACACCGCACGGAATTTCAAGAAGCAAACCACACCCTTCAAAGCATAATCAAATTTCATCTTTGACCTGTCATGAAAAGGGAAGCATATATACCTGCCACTCCTGGGTATTGATGAACAATGAATTGCATTTGAAAACTTTTATTCTAAGATTTCATCTCTGTCTCATTTGACAGGAGCTAGAGGCAGGCCTGTGTGTGCCAGTGGTTGAAAGGGGTGGAGAAAAAGGAATTGCTTTCCTTCAGGACGCCACCCCCCTTGGAGGGAAGCTGGTTTGGGCACTTGAACCAGGGCTGCATGTGCACTAGGACTCTGCTCCCCTGAGACGTAAGCTGAAACCAATTAACCCCAAGCCTGACAGTCCAGATATTTTCCACATAGGTATGTGCAGCACCAATGCAATTATAGGCAGTCTCAGAGTATGGGTGAAAATGCCACCCAGTCCATCCCTTGGGATCGGAAGGACCCGCTGGCATCAGCCTGGTCAATCAGTGATCCACAGTGGACAACAAAGCCACACAAACCCAGGACTCTGTTCCTGACGTCAAAGGGAAAAAGAAAAAACACCTGAGACTGACAAAAAAAAAAAAAAAAATCCAGAGCAAGCCAGGATTTCTCAATCCAGGAAGAGAGGAGCTGGGAAAAAAAAGGGGGGGGGCGCGTGGAATTTGCCTCAGACAAATATAGTTTAGTACACCAGCTGGAGGCAAAGCTGGAAAGGAGAGGCATTGGAGTGGGGTGAGGAGAATGGGTGGGATACTGGAAGGAAGACCTTGCTGGCTTCAGGAAGTTTTCTAGTAGTTTTAAGGAAAATCTGCTTTAAAAATATATGCAATAAATGTGATAGAAAAAATTACGTTAGAATGGAAAAGAAAGAAAAGCAGCAATCAATTCATATCCATCTTCTAGCAAGAGGCTCTAGTGCCTACACAGAACAGCCATAGAGTCAGTAGAAGGAACTATGGATCTTCTGTCCTCAACCCAAGATGAAGATCTCTTCATTCAAGTACTAAAAGTCATCTCATTACAACTTGACCTATCTCTTTGTCCTTGTTCTACAGCAGACAAGTTCCCTAAGGCAAAACTGCCTTAGAGGGCTTCCCTGGTGGCGCAGTGGTTGAGAGTCCGCCTGCCGATGCAGGGGACACGGGTTCGTGCCCCGGTCCGGGAGAATACCACGTGCTGCAGAGCGGCGGGGCCCATGAGCCATGGCCACTGAGCCTTCGCGTCCGGAGCCTGTGCTCCGCAACGGGAGAGGCCACAACAGTGAGAGGCCCGCGTATTGCAAAAAATAAAAACAAAAAAAAAACTGCCTTAGATTGGGGCTCAATTTGTTCCCCTTCATGGGAAAGTAGAAGAAAAAAAGAAGAAATATGAAATCACCCATGAACTAACCTGTTGCAGGAAAAGGCCCTATTTTGGTTTAGGACTTCCAAAATAGGAATGCATTTTACAATGACACTCTACCATAGCCCACCCTATTGCCTCAGGAATTGCTCCCAACGTACACACTCCACTCTTTCCTACTAGGTCCCCACTGTTCACTTATAGTAACTGACAACATTAATGGAATTCTTATTATGTATCAAACCCCATATTTAACACGTTATAAACAGGAATTAATCCTCGCAATAAATTTGTGAGGCAAGAACTGTAATCTTTATTTTGCATATTAGGAACCTGAGTCTGAGGGAGGTTAAGTAACTTGCCTAAAGACACACAGCAAGTTAGTGACAGAGCCAGGCTTTGAACACAAATTTGTTAGATGCAAGAGCCAGCACTCCAACTACCATACTACAATGCCTCCATCTTACACACCTAAAACAATTCCCTTCCATTCAAATCTCTAGCTCGGAAATGATCTCTTTTATAAAATCCTATTAATGTAAATTCACTGAGCATTCCACATTACCATGATAGCCAACTGATTTCTAAATAGATGTTAATATGTATCTGCATCATGTGTGCTCTTTATTTAAATAGGAGACTTTTCCTCCCATACTCACCTCCCATCCATTCTCCAAGTATTCTTTTTCATGCTTTTGTTTTCCCTGAAACAACTGTCTGAAATTAACTCCTTCCAACCCTCCCTTTCTGTTGGAGGACGCAGGCAACAAAAAGTGCCCATCAAACTGAGAAAGCACCTCGAGACAGAAAAGCAGGGCAGGCAGCTCCATATAATCAATGGATCAGTTTATTATATGGTAACTTACTCACAGGGTGGGATTGGGCAAATAATGATCCAGAGGCATTCGCAACTGCGCTCCACACCACCGAAGGGCCATCGGGACAATTTTACAGTTAACCTAGGGTATGGGGGTAGGTGCTCGAAACAGGATGTGCATTCCTAAGCCAAGATTTATGAATGGGTAACAAGTCTCGAGGGAATACATCAGCGAAGGTTGTCATCATTGTTTGGGGACCAACAGAGCATCGGGGCCACCTGGTCCTAATGGTCATTAAACAATATCTATTAACTACAAACCACTTGGTAACAGAGAAGTGATTCGTGGCACAGTACAGTCCTGGGTCGGGTCAGGGGAAGGACAAGAGGAACTGTAAGGGCCAAGATGGCGTCAGTTACGCTAACAGCCATATACCTTCCTTACCTGGAAAACTCATTATTGTTGTAGTTACTGCTATTGTTATAGCTTCCACTAAAATATCCCCGTGTTGGAGCATTCCCTGACTCCTCCAGGCAGCATTAGCTCTACATTCTGTCTGCTACCCAAACACTCCTTACTCTACTGTAGCCCCAACTCATTCTGAATATATTTATTGAAAATAACTACACACCAGGCAGAGGATGGGTGGTACAGATACAACACAAATAAGATAAGCACAGCCCCTTAGTGGGTTAATATTTGTGTGCTTTCTTCTCCCACTAAAATGTGAACTTCTCAATAGGGGCGATTATCTTATCTTTGTACACCAGGTGCTAACAAAGGCCAGATACATAGGAGGTGTTCCATAAATATATTATCCCATTTCTTAATATGTTATGGCTGTCAGGCAATGAAGACAAATAACTAGGCTATATCTGTTTATATTTATGTTTCTATTTCCAAAATTGAGTCTTCATCTATCCTGAAAATATTCTTCCCTGTGATAATGCTGGAATGCACAGGAAGGATCCCCTTTGAGAAAGAAGGACTTATTACCCCTGTTTGGAGTGGGGATGCTGCTGGCTTCAGGCCTCACGTCAGGCCCCTTTCTCAGGCAGCCCACATCAAATGACTGATCTATGTGGGAATGTAAAGATTCATCCCTCTCACCCCAACCGGGGACAGCTCTGAAGGTTGGCTAAGCCTTTATCCTGTGTCACAGCTCAACTTCTCCTGTGCAGACTGCTTCCTTCCCTTCCCTTAGTGTCTATCCCAAGATCACTTCCTAATAAACATACTGCCTCCAACTTGGAGTTGGCTTCCCATCCTACTACTTTCTGTATCCGGAAATTAATGTGTCTGAAAAAGTGATCTGCACTCCTCTACTTCCTTAACACTCATTTTTCCACCATTTTGTGATCCACCCTAGAAATTACTTTCTCGTTAGCTAGTTGAGATCATCATTGCCAAGTAGAGTCAGAACCCACGAACTCTTCAACTTTCTCCATATTTGAAAGGTGCTACCATTCCACTTACAACTCTTTCTTCAGCTTCCATCACACTGT